AGCCGCTCCACACAGGCCGTGCCTTAGGCTGCCCCTCTCGTGGGTGACTGAGCCGGGCTTTTTGTTCAACCCAGCTCTGCCTGAGCTGACGCTGGAACCAGCCCCAGAGTGTTAAATGTGTCTCTCCTCTGGTGACAGTGAGACATTTGCTTCCCACTGGCTCTGGCGAGACCTTCAGCTCCGCTGTTGGCACTTCTTGAGCAGACGCCAAGGTCAGACCATGAACTGTCTGATTGGGAAACTGTGGGATATTTAGAGAACAGCAAACATGTTCAGATCAGACCATGAACTGTCTGATTGGGAAACGGCTTCCATCTGCTCCAACAGCCCGTCCTCCTATAAACCTTCACACCACCTCACCTGTACTTCATTTCTCCTGAATCTTCTCACCAAACCAGGGGGATTTTGCCTTTCTCCAAGCAATGGGGATGCTGCAGGCTGCTCCTACCCTTGATATAGTATGTGGGTGCAAGCCCTGAGCCTCGGGACTGCTGAAAGCACTGTGGCTGTCCCCACCGGAGCTGTAATGGTCATGCTGGGGCTGCTCCTGCATCATCAACCTCCACCCTGACCTTGGGTGATGCCACCACCTTCTTGTTTTGTTTAAGCCTTGAGCTCTCAGCTTTCTGCTGAGGTTCGCAAGCGATACGCGAAGACAAGAAGGATGGCACCCACTACAGATTGCAGGGACGCAGATGTCCCCAGATAGATGCCACAAAGGCCAACGTTCAAGTGCCAGGCCTCAGGGACGAATCTGAAGCCTGCAAGTAGGTGCTGAGTGGTTTCTACGAAGAAGGTGGGAAAGGGATGGTTACAGTCCACCAGGGCGACTCTACCTTTTGCTCTGCTAGATGGGTTTCTGAGCAAAATGGACCTCAGAGTTGTTTCTGAGCTGCTGTCAAGGCAGTCTGAGCAACGTAACGTACATCGGGCTGCTCAGCACATCTGGGAGAAGCTTCAGGATCCTTCCAGACCAGAAGGGCGAGGGAGCTTGGTGGGTAGGTGCTGAGCTGTGCCCTGTGAGGGCCTCTCTGGTTTGCAGCCAGAACAGCAGCACAGCACAATTCAGCCGCAGTATTAGCTCTAGAGATTGTCTCTGCTGGACCGATGCCTGCCGGGTCTTTCTAAGTTTTAATTTCTGTTGCATTTCAGCAAACCAGATTGTGTCCGAGATCACAGGACCACGTGATGTCGGGATCTCTGAGGTTTAGCCCATGCCCCGCTGTCTGAGCTAAAATACTCACAAATAGCTTGTTGGATCAGTTCCAGATGGGCCACCTCACGCAGCATTTCCACCTCCACCAGCCCGCTCTACCTTCAGTGGCTGCACAGGGAAACACAAAGTGTCACTGCTCACATTTCGTAAATCCCCTGATCTTGATGAGGGGATTGAGTGCACCCT